ATGAGGACATTGACTTGCATAATAAAATGTGACAAAAATGAAGAATTTGGTAAAGACACTTCTAGCTGCAAAGTATATGATTTCCAAACTCATCATGAGTATGTGACAGTTGTCACGAAAGCTAATCTGTAAACAAGTAGCGATAGAATTTCTTTGATGAAATAGAAAAGAAATTTTTGATAAGATTTCAGCACATGCCTCGATAGCACTTTTAAGAAAAAAATTAACAGCTTTCTGCATTTTATCATGAAGTAAAAAAAAAACGTTAGGCATATTTAAATTTTCTTATTAATTTTAAAAGAAGCTGTAGCATTAAGAAATCAAAGGATATCATACATTTTCCTGTATACTGAACAACAGAGTTATTCTTATATGATGTTTAAAATAGTCATCCATCCAGATGTAGATTGATTAACTATTGAGGTCTAGCAAAGTATGAGCTTGACATTTGTCATATTTAAACAAAATGAATGCAATAATTTATTTTTTCATTATGAGAAAAAGAAATTGCTTCTTACAGATTAAAATGCAAATGTAAAGGGTGTTCCAATAACTTGAACTGATTTTAAATGTGAATTAAGTTTAAGCGTCTAATTTTTTTTTCTTTCAAATTTGACAACTTAAGTCTTTGGCAATTTCAACCATGGAAAAATTAACAATCAAACGTGTTAAAGTTATCGCAGCCTTTTACGAAAATGGACATTCAAAAAGAAATTAAATGAGAAGTTCCCAAGTTACATCATCTCTTGAAACAGCAAAGTCAATTGGCCACCACGATCGTGCGACTTGAAACCTTTAGATTTCTTTTTTTTGGGTCATCTCAAAAGTAAGGTCTATGCTAACAAGCCGACAACAATTCAACAGCTGAAGGATGAGATAATAAGTCATATTGGTGAGATCGAGGTGCAGCTATGCAGAGACGCCATCAAAAATTTTGACCATCCTTTAAAGGTGTGCTGCTAAAACCTTGTCGGATATTTGGGCAATATTATTCTTCACACATAATTGCCATGACATAAATAACATGATCCAATAGAGAAATAAATTAATTTTCATCTATAACAATGATTTATTTACTGCTGACTTTGATCCGTCTTAATGAAACACCCTTTATTCCTTTATTTTACAATTTCTTTCCTACATCAAATTGGTAGAATTTTAATATGCATTATATATATATATATATATATATATATGAGGTTAAAAATACAACAATAATGTTAAACATGAGAAATAGAAGTGTTGAAATGCAAGATTGCATCAGCATATTTGATGCTTCATTCAAAGAGTAGGACACACACACCTTAAAATGGCATTGGATTTCTCTAAAGATATAGAAAATATTCTGAACATAGATTCTACTGGATGATTGAAAAGTGAACTAAACAATTGATCCATGTCTTTGCAATCAGAGAAATACTTCAAGCAGCTAAACACAAAAAGGTATGTAAGTGTCTCAACACTAAAAGATTCAAATTCCCTACATCAGAATTGCTTTAATCATTATTGCATTCTCACAAACACATAAGATGCTAAACAGAAGTTCAAAAAACTTAAATAAATTTTTCAAAAAACTGTTTTTATTTAATTGATCATCAAGATTAAATATTGTCAAGATCTGGACATATGAAATAATTAACAACCTAAGAATCAAATCAAACAAAAACAGCACAAAAAAAAAACAAACAAACCAAAACAAAAAAAATGGGACAACAAAAAAAATGGGACAACAAAGTTTAAGACGGTCTCAACTTGTCCATTGCAAAAGTTGAACTATTCTTTGTTTTCTAAATTTGCAAGTGAAATGACAAAACCCGACTTGGAAATGATAAAGTCTGGCCTCAAATACAGACAGCTTAAGGATTTTCTGTGTATATCAATTAAAGACATCAACACCAACCAGCATTTGGCAGTAGATATCAATCATAAACAAAAAGAATGTATTGTCTACAATGGAAAATCTATTGCACTTGACACTGACAAAATTGGCTATTTGAGCTTATGATTCTGATTTATTTATGACAAAGTATCACTTGTGTTGATAGCTGACATCTACAAAAATACTACTGAACATGTTTAAAGTGGCAATTCTTAGGACAGTAATATCCAACAAATAAATATGAATCAGTTAATATCTCAAAGAGTGAGATGAGGTGTGAGGCATGTGAAAAGGACAAAAAAAAAATCCATTATGAAATGTGGAGCTGGAGAAAATGGAACGGACAAAAGGGAATTCTATCTGAGGAAGTTAATATTAATGAACACATATATGGGGTTTAGGTAAAATAACTATCATAGTTGAAATAATAGATAAAAAAAAACAGCGAAATGAAATAAATAAAATTAATTATTTCTAAATAAACAAGCTACCAGTGTCAATAGATATTTGGATTAATTCATGAAAACATTAAATAGCATTTTGACACATTTCAGCTGCTGCTGCTTCAATCAATTTCATTAAATCCTTAAATGTTTTGGGTTTTCTGTAATATTTAACAGAATAAGGTCAGAGGCAAACACCCCCCCACAAAAAAAAAACTTATAGATGTGATATCAGGGGACAGTGCTGGCCAAACCAGTCATCCCAAATTCCGAATCCATCAATTTGGTAATCCCTAAGTTCTGTGATGATATGAAGGTATGCCATCCAGCTGAAAAATTGTTAATTGCAAAACCTTTCTTGAGAATTGTTGAAAAGAGAAACGGTCCAACAAGTTCAATATTTACACTCTGTGTGAGTGTGTGGATATGCATGTTTGCGTGCATACATATATGTGTGTACAAATGTGTGTGAGGTCATGTAGATATATCTGTGTGTATGTACATGTATACTTTTGTGTGTGTCTGTGTGTGTGTGTGTGTGTGTGTATATATATATATATAAAATTAATATAAGCAAAACTTTGTCTCTTAGCTGATTGATGTTACCTTCCGCATCCTAACTCCAGATTTCCATAGACAGACCCATCCACCCATTCATCAGGAGGTATCAGCAACTGACTGTTTATATTTCTCGATTTTTCTTTTTCATATGCACTTATCATTGGTGCAAATTTGTTTTTCTCATTGTGTCTGTGTGTGCGGACATGGGTTCGTGTGCATGCACCTATGTGCCCATCTGCACAGATGTGCATATGTATAGAATGTCATGACTTATTCGTTGTTCTTTTTAAATTTCTTTGAGTATATAAAAAGTTCTTGGCTGAACATGAAACCATTGCCTGTCAGCAAGGGTGCTCAAAAGCAAATCATTTACTCCTACGAAACCAGAAAATCTGACATTTACGCATTTTTACTGAAAATATAATGTTGTTTCACCAACCTGCTACTTCCCAGAATTAGCAAACAGCCAGTATAAATAAAACAGCCTGTATAAATAAACTAATGACACAATGTGCCTTGTGTCAAAGGGCCCAAATTTCAACCTTGGTGCTATTATGCTGATCAGCTGTGATTTGGTTGGTTGGTTTGGTTTGGTTTATGGCATATCAACCTTAATGAGTTATTTAATGCCAACAAGATTTTTATTGCTGGTAAAAATTTTTTCCAAAAAGTATTTTTGGTAATATTTTTTCCAAAAAAGTATTTTTGGTAATATTTTTTCCAAAAAAGTATTTTTGGTAATATTTTTTCCATAAAAGTATTTTTGGTAATATTTTTTCCAAAAAAGTATTTTTGGTAATATTTTTTCCAAAAAAGTATTTTTGGTAATATTTTTTCCAAAAAAGTATTGCTGGTAATATTTTTTCCAAAAAAGTATTGCTGGTAATATTTTTTCCAAAAAAGTATTGTTGGTAATATTTTTTCCAAAAATGTATTGCTGGTAATATTTTTTCTAAAAATGTATTGCTGGTAATAATGTATTGCCGGTAATAATCTTTTACAAAAAAGTTTTGCTGGTCTTAAAACCTATTTGTACATGTTTTGAGTCCAGTTTTGGGGTTAACTATTTGGCCATAGCTGGGACCCTAACAGGTGCTACCACCAAAGTCAGAGTGAAACTGGAAACATCAGCAATTAAGAGGTGGTTTCATGCTCCTCAAAACCTCTTGATCAGAGGCCTTGCTGTCGGATGTAGTTTATCGTCATACCCAGGACAGTGATCAGATTTGGTTATAAACCTGAAACCATTTTCATTTTATCTCAGACTCTGGTTTATCATGTTCAATTGTAAATACACTTTTGGACAAACACCATAAGGATCATCTAAAATAAAACTAAAATAAACTATTTGTTTATAATTAAATCTAATATCATGCCACATAGAAAATAATTAACATTAATGTCAGCAAGGGCGCTCAAAAGCAAATCATTTACTCCCATCAAACCAACATTTCAAATCATGTATTTGAATGTATTCCTCAAAACAAATGGTAAATTGCATTAATTTCTCTATGTCATAAATTGTTTCAAATGAAAAAAACAAAATGGAGTAAGTTCAAAGTTTCAATTCTGTTTAAAAGCATTTCCTATTTGAATGGAAGTTCTCAATTTGAAGTTTATAATGATTTTTCCTGAGAGTATAATGATTGCATCAGAGAGGGTATCCGTTTGCAAGAGGAACTTTTGCATTGAAATCAATATGTCTTAGAAGGAAGAAGAGAAAATATTCATTGAATTGTGATAGTTCCTTAGGGACAAACAAAATTTTTTCCTTATTTTAGGGGAAAAAAACCTTAAGGTGTTTTCTGAAATAGAAAATGAATTCAGTTTTAAATAAGGTTACAATAAAAAAAAGAAAAGAAAATAATTTTAAATGCATTTTCTAAATCTACAATCTTATTATCCTGTAGTTTGCTCCATTCAACAAATAAAATAAGCTATAATTTACAATATAATCTCCTTCTATAACTGGTAATTGGAACACGAATGAGTGATGCAAATATATACATGTCCCCTCCCCTAATAAGTATGACAAATAATAATTTGGAATGTCTTGTTTATTTTAGAAGCATGCATTTGAAAACAGCAAAGAAAAAATAGACAAACTTATTTCACATTTAGTCTTTGGAGGAAAATGAAATATCATGCTGAAAATAAAGGAATAAAAGTCATGCAAAAAAAAAAAAAAAAATCTTACCTTAATTCGTGTGGGCGTGAGTTGTTCAAAGATATTTCTGTCCATTCCAAATACAATGGCATTTAGTGCGCCTGCAGAAAAATAATTGGAGCAAATTCTAAATTTTAAATAAAGATAATTATTTTATAGCAAGAAACTCTTTAAGAAATTTTCTCAAAGTGCAAGGAATAATCCTCTTGGAGTCTTCAGAGGAGGATTCAACAGGTATTCTTTCTATATCATATCATCAAATTCACAAAAAAATTGAATAAATCCAATGTTAAATCCCCTACCAGGCCCATGACTTGTTGAATTGCATCCCAAATTGTATTTGAACCACAGATGTTTTCTTTTTTGTAAAAAAAAAAAAAAAAAAAAGAATCAAACTCCATGCTTCTAGCATCTCTGCCTACACCTCAAAATTTTATTTACTAATTTTTTTAATTTTTCAATAGGAACATGGTGCATCCATGGCCCAGTTCACACTCCTTCCCTGTTTTTTTAAACAAGAGTAGAGATTTATCCCTTGTTTCCACTTCAGGATTAGATTTCCAGTTCATTCTCCTAAAGTCTTCTTATTTTCTTTCAATCTCAATAACTCCCTGTGACCTTATTGCCTTGCATGAGGTGAAAATGATTAAAAAAATAAAAAAATAAAAGCTGATCTCTTTATATGTTTAACCACTGAAATAGGATTGTGACAAGAAACATATATTTTTGTTTTTAATATATTGTTACCAGTTATTCAAGTGCGGAAGCTAAGCAAATCTACAATCCAGATGTCTTGTCAGATGCTCAAATAGATAATCAGATATCTAGTTGCAGTGTTTGACAATATGACCAGATATGCAATACATGTGCAAATATGCCAGAGATATACTGTCTGAGTAGACAAAATAGACTAAAATTTAGTTTAATTAAAAAGTTTAATTATTAATAAATTGGTATCCAAAATAACCTTCAGTCTGTTGTTAACTGGAGCAAATGATGGCTTGTTAATTTTGATGTCTCCAAAGCTAAACTGCTCTTTATTAATCATCTGAGAGATCCCTCTGTCTTCTGTCAGCATGGCTGATGCTAACCTTCAGGAAAATGACTTGTGTTTTCTCAGGTTAACGTTCTCAGCTGACATGGAAAAACTAAATTGGTCTGTTTTATGGCATATAAAAACTCAATGGGTCATTTAATGTTGACAAGAATTTTATTGCTGGTAATATTTTTGTTTCAAAATGTATTGTTGATAATTTTTTCTTCAAAAATTCATTGATGCTAATAAAACCTATTTTTACACGTTTTGACCCCAATTTATGGGTTTAACTATTTGCCAATAGCTGGGATCCTAAAAGATGCTATCACATTGGGTCAGCATGGACCTGGTAACAGCAGCAATTAAGAGGTGGTGCCACACTCCTCAAAACCTTCTGATCAGAGGCCTTGCTGTTGGATGTAGTTTGTCGTCATACCCAGGATGCAGCTGAAGTTTATTGTTTTGCCCAGGACGGGAGACTATATTGAATCCATTGCTAAGAAAGTTGGTACACTGTGCTGTGCTAGACAATTTTTCTCTCCAGAAACTATTTTTATCCATACTTAGAATATTGCTGCCACTTATGATTTGGTGCCCTTGCTATTTATCTTGAACTCCTTGATAAGATCCAAATAAGAATCAGCAATATTATTGGTCTTGTTCTGGTAGCTCAGCTTCAGTCACTTTGCCACCACCATAAGGTTGCCTCTCTGTGTCTTTTGTATGAATACTTTCATGGTAATTGTTCAGATGAGCTTTTCACCATGGGACCTAGACTTTTTGAATCTAAGTGCAGTACCAGACTGGCATCATGATCAATTTACAGCTGTGAGGGTTACATGTCGCTATAAGTTCTGTGCTAACCGTTTCTTTTTGTGGAACTCTCTTCTGGCTCCATGCTTTCCAGCCAACTTTAATCTTCAAAAATTTCAATGAAATGTCAATCGTTATCTACTTGCCTCCTGATTACTCTTCTTTTGTCCTTGCTCTTTAGTAATGTTTCTGTTTCTAAACTCTTCCACTCCCAGTAACACTTCGCATCTCAGTGGCTTTACTGCCTTGCCTGGGGTGATACACTCTGCACAAGGTATAACAATGATTAAACCCCACCTTTTTTTTTTTATAAACCAAAATACCTCTGTCAATATCCAACAAAGTATTTATTCAGGTATTTTTTTTTGATTAGGACTCCAGTGATGATTTTGAAGGCTTTACTTGAGTGGATATTGATGGTCAAGTGATCAAAGATGATAACCACACTAGTGATGTAGAGGAAAGAGATGATGATCACTAGCAGCTACTATCATCCATGCCTGACTAATTTTATGGAAGCTAATAGCAATCATTGATATACCTGGTATCCTTTCTGAAGGTGAATTATTTTATCTATTTATAAACAACAAAATAATAACTTTATTTATCAACAAGACAAATGAATATGAGTCAGGTGAAAGAAAGATCAAACAAATGCTAGTGTCTTCTTGTATATAAACAAAATGAAACACATCACTTTTTTGACAAAATGAAAGCCTTCTTAGCTATTTTGCTTCTTATTGCATCACCAGAACTCTATAAGGAGTAATAAAAGTTAAAGTACATTGAATTATTTATGTAGTTTTTAATGTATTTGTTTTTTTATTTTGTTTTCAACATCAAAACATGCATGCAAAATGTAATGCATTACATCAAAATATTATTAATGTACAAAAACTAAAATCTATACACACAATACAAAGAAAGTTATAACAATTTTAAAACAGTAGGTGTTCATGTTTTTGCACCCTTAAAAAAAAAAATGAAGTGGTAGGGGAGACAACTCTAGAAAGAAATTAGCGTGGTAAAGGTTAATGTTGGTCCATTATTTAATGTATTCAATTCTTATTGAATTATGCTAGTCATAAGATGTAAATATCTTATGACTAGCATGCTTCTCTCAGGTCTTTAATACACTTCATGATCTTTGAGGCCACATGCCATTGACACTGCTTCAAACTATATTTTATAATAGACCATAAAAGCAGCAGAAATTTTGCCTTTGTCATTATTTTATAAAAGATCAAGATTTATTCATTTTTTTGTAAATGTTTACTCATCCCTCTATCAGTTCAATTTCTTTTAAAAATATTTCCTTATAATGATAAGACTTTTCTTGACAATTTACTTTATAAAAATCACTCAGCTTCCCTATTCCCAGGATGTACCTGAGATATCCATCTCAAATCATAGATTTTCCTAGATTTACAAATTAGGCATTTTCTCATCTAACAAGACATTTTGCATGTGCAAATATCTGAGATACACGTCAAAGACAAGGGACCAAGTAATCTTTTGATATCTTGGATTCCACTATATGAGACAGGCATAGAACATGGGGATTGATACTGGCAACAGATGGATGGAAGTTTTAACCTTCACTCTGGTGGTAGATTGGACAGTGTGGGAATGCACATCGGAAAGACAGGCTGACGGCTAGCTTGGTTTAATGTCTGACATCGACTGACTCACACAACTCCACTGAGCTCCCCTGTCGACTGCTACTATTACTACTTATTATGTGTGGGAGAGTCTATTAATAATAGAAATAGGTACGTTCCGGTATAACACTTGGACTGACTGAAATCGGTCTACAAGCAAGAGACACAGAACAAGATAATCTTTTGACATCTCAGATTTGACCTGACCATGCGGTTAAGGCACACATACTTACATAATTTCTGGGATGAAGAGTTATTATTTATAGTCAGACTAATATCCTCATCTTTGTTGTTAGTATCATAACATTTCATCCATTGCGCTTTCCAGCCTTCTTCAGGTGTCTATCAATCTACGTAACGTTCAAGGAATTTCAAACTAAACCTGTTATTTAGTATACAAAGGTACATTGTTCATATTCCCCTGTTCATGTTTAGCGATATCTCATCTCTGATAAACAATACGACTTCCGTTTTGCCAGGTCTACTGCTGATGTGCTAACGGCCATCACTGAATATGTAGATGGAGCTCTTGATAATAACAGTAAAGGTCAAGCTGTTGCTCAAGAAATCTCAAAAGCTGTTTGACAAGATTTGGGACTGGTTTTCTATGTAAGCTTCAGGGTTATGGTATTACTGGATGATTGTTTGATTTAACCCAATTGATCATATCAAATCCTGAAATGAAGGTTATTTTGAACGGCCTTGCTTCCAGATCCTTTCACACAAATGTGGGTGTCTCCCAAGGCTCTATCCTGGGTCTTATGCTGCTTCTGATCTTCATCGGTGATCTTCCTGATGTAATCAGTTCCCAAGTAGGCATTTATGCAGATGACACTACCATTTACTCCTGTCTCAATAGCAAATCCATCAGAGCTGACTAAGTTAACCTGGCCGTTTTTCTTGAAAAGGATGTCCAATCAGTGGTTAACTGGGCAGTAAATAGCTTGTAAATTTTCCCAAACTGCCTCCAAAACTAAACTTCACTCATTTACCAGCCATAGAGAAACTTCCCTGCCCACCATCAGCATGCCTGATACTAGACTCATGGAGAGCAACAAACTGCATTTTCTTGGTCTCACATTTTCAACTGACCCTATTGTGGAGTGACTATACTGAATCAACAGCTGCATCTACTGCAAGAAAAGTTGGTCCATTGTGCTGTTCCAGAATGTTTTTCTCATCAGAGTCCATCTTGTACATTTACAAATGTAGCATTCATCCAGGAATTGATTAGTGTTGCCATACCTGCTCAGGTGCTCCTGCTACTCATCTCGAGGTTCTTGATAAATTCTAAAGAAGGATCTGCAATATAATTGATCCTGACTTGGCATCTTCACTTCAGTCACTTTATCACTGATGTGACGTGTCATCCCTCCGTCTTTTCTACAAATATTTTCATGGCTACTGCTCTGACAAGCTTTTTTCCTCCTGGTGCTTGGACTACATGAATTTAAGCATGCTACTAGATTGGTATCTAGGTCTAACCTTTTACTGTTGAATTAGGTAAATGTAACTGCCACTTCTTCTCCAACAATTTCTTTTCTCGCACTTCCCGCCTGTGGAACTTCCTTCTGTTTCCTTGTTTTCCTGATGACTACAATCTTCAAAAAGTTAAATGCAATGTCAATTGCTGACTTAACTTCTTGAACCCCATTCATCATTTATCCTTTCCTTGGTCCGCCCCCCCACCCACTTTTTTTTTTCTCTTCGCTCTTTGTAATCTCTTGAATACTAGTGGTATTCCTGCCTTGCTTGGGGTGAAATGACTATTAAAAAAAAAAAAAAAAAAAAAAAAAAAAAAAAATTGTCCTGTCACCCCTTTTTTTTTTTTTTTTTATTATTACTGAGCTGAATTATATCCATACTACCCAGCCTAGGGATTGAACTCACAATTACTATGCCATCAGTTTCACTAACCAATGCTTTAATCCTAAATGCCAAAGATTTTCATACTAACAACAAAGACAAGGACATTAGTATGTATTGTAAATAATGTTAAGATGTCTACATGTCGGACAATAAAACCCCCAAAACAGGCAGTTGTCAGCAAGGCAACAAGATGTTACCAATGCCTTGCAAAGTGGGTAGGGTACCTAAGTAGATGGACAAAAAAAAAAAAAAAAAAAAAAGGCAGAAGCAAAAATAGCAATAAGTTTAAATATGATAGTCACAGCAAGACATGTTGATTTTTATTGATTGAGATTTTTATGGTTTATTAAACCTTTTCAGGTTATTTAAAGTCAGACAATATTTTTGAATTGTAAGACATTTTTTATATAACAATGATTTTCTAATAGAAATTTAACTCATAGCTGGTGGGTGAAGAAGCAGATTTATATCTGACCCCAAAAGTATTTGTGCATAAATAAATATAATAAACCTGACTGGAATTTCTGATCCATTATCCATTACACCACCTGCACACCCAGCATGATATAGCCATAAGCTGACTTGCATTGGCTGAAATCATAATTTACCCAAAGAAATCCCTCTAAGAAATCTTCCAGCAGTTGGACATATTATAAAAATCCATGATACCCACGTGAGTATGTATATAGAGCAGAGAGAGTTTAAAAAAAAAAATTCCCAGCTACCAAGATGAGAAATATAGACTGACATCTCAGCAAATAAGATTAAAATACTAACAGAAAAAAATGGCTGTTAAATTGATTTAAAAAAAAGAAGCCATATTTGATTATGGTGAAGCTTTAGGCAAGATTACATACAGGAACTGATGGGTTTAACAAAATGCTATATTACATAAAGATGTAAGATTCAAAATGTAAAATGATTAAAAAGTAGTAGTCATTACTAAAAATAACATTCCTTGTTTTATGTCTAGTGCCATTTTTATTTAAACAAGACATGAAAGTTTTCCACTTCAAAAATACTATTTCAAATAAGCCATTTAATGTTGTAAATAGAATTTAGTTCCAAGTACGAGAAAATTAAATCACCAATGAAAAGCTGAGATAATGCAATGAATCCGGACAAGACTGAATTAACAAAGCACTTAAAAAAAAAAAAAATTAAAAAATTGAGAAACAAACAAAAAAAAAAAACAAAACAAAAAAAACCGAAAACCTCATTACTGGACTGTGGTTTTGACTAACATTAGAAAATGAATGTCTTGTTTTCCTATTAAATAAGTTTCAAAAAGTTTCTTTCTATAACGAGAGGGAATCAGTTTTTAGTAGTCAGTTCTAAATACCAGATATTTTCTCCCTCAAGTGACCAGACCTGTTTTTGTTTCTGTGGTCAAGCTTGTATGAATCTGCTTTATGCTCGACTGCACCAGCCATGTTCGTGTGAGCTGCAAAATGTATTCAAGTTACACACTCTACAGTGACACATAAATAATAAGAGAAACATTTGAAAATGCAAAGCAGTAGAGAGTTAATGAACTTCTGAATATTGATTATGACAAATGCAGTTGATATTGAAGCTATACACAGAAGTAACATTCTTTAAAAAACCATTTAGGTCAGCTTAACTTACTTCCTATATAAAGAACATACATTATAATTATTTGCAAATAAAAAGAATAATTCCATAATTAGCAGGTCAGTTTCACTTTTATCTAAAAATAATTATTGTTAAAAAACATATTGAAAGTCAGAGTTTCATGATGCTTTTCTCTTCAGGACTTAGATAAGAATGTTTACTTACATTATTCGGACTCCTGTTCTCATCTTCATTGCTATATTTACAACGTTTCAGCTGTTGTATGCTCTGGCCTTCTTCAGGTGATTGGAATTTTGAATTGAACCCTTTATCTCATCAATGGGAGTAGATTGTTCTAGTTCCACGTGCCATGCCTCTTCCGGATGTCTCGGTTATTTCTCTTCAACTCAAGCAAAGATGGTTGCTGAGACATTAGGTTTATAAATCCCCAAAATTCATACACAGACGTCAAGGGACACATGGCCCAGTGGATAAAGATGGTTAGATCCAGTGACTAGACCCAAAGAGTTGTGAGATCAATACCATGCCACAGCAGTGGTGAACCAACTTGGAGAATTGAGTTAAAGGGAAATAACTAAAGCATCTGGAAGAGGCATGGCACGTGAAACAATCTACCCTCATGGACGAAATAAACGGTTTAGTTCGAAATTCCAATCACCTGAAGAAGGCTGGAGTGCATGTTGTGAATAAGTCCAAATAATGTAAGTAATCATAATATCAGAGATATAGACAGATATTGAAGAATGTCTGTATCACTTATTACAGAATCTGTAAAAATTAATACAATCATTGATATCTGTATCATCATGAACAGAACACTGAATTACCTCCCTTCTCTATAACCCTTGACCCAGTCCTCACTTTCCAGTCTCTATAGAGATATATCTGTGGGTGATAAATTATTTTCCACCCTACAAACCCTCTCACTGCTTAATTGCTACTTCCATGGAAAGGGCTCAGATGAATTACATTCCTTAGTTCCACCAATTCTAACCTTCACGGCTATTTTAACAAACTACCCTCATTCACTCCATATTCCATTGGTGAGAAGTACATTCCACTCAAATAGCTTCTTCCCAGGAAGCACTGCTCTGTGGAACCAATTCCCAAGAGGATATTTTCCCTGATTACTACAATTGTAACCTGTTCAAGTGTAGGGTTAACCATTATCTTTCTCACCTATCCATATAAACTGTGTACCTTACTCTGCAACCCTCTACCTCGAGTGGCTCCCAGGCCTTTTACAGGGTAACTCTCACTGTAGTAAAAAAAAAAAAAAGAAAAGAAAAAAAGCCAACAAGAAAAAAAAACTTATTTTTGTCTTATCCTAACACAAAATAAAGGCGCATTGTTATTTCATATTGTAGTCATTTTTCCTCCACCTTAATGTGACTTCCCTCTGTCTTTTCTATAAATATTTTCATGGCAGTTGTTCTAATGAGGTCTCCTCTTCAGTACTTCAACTGCATGAATTTAAGTATACAACTAGATTGGCAACTCGGTCTCACCTTTTTTACTGTTGAATTACCTAGATGGAACTGTAAGTTCTATCCTAATAATTTTTTCTCGTATTTCTCACCTGTAGAACTCTCTTCTAGTTTCTTGCTTCCCGCCACCTAGAAACTTAAAAATCTTAAAGACAAAATCTTCTTGAATCCTGTTCTTTTATTATCCTTTTTCTTCACTAAATTCTTATTCTCTTCCACTCTCAGTAGCCTCTTGCATCTAAGTGGCATTATCACCTTGCTTGGGGTGAAATGATTATATATATATATATATATATATATATATATATATATATATATAGCATTTGCTTGATAAAGTCCTCCAGAAGACAAAATGTGTCAGCCAAGTTTTTCCTATTGTTTTTGTTCTTAGTGTCATTTTTACAGATACATCTGAAATATTTTCATGGCAGTTGTTCAAATGAGCTTTCCTCCTTGGTATCTCAACCACATGAATTTAAGCATTCTGCTAGATTGGCAATTAGGTCTCATCGTTTTACTGTTGAAATTGCTTGATGTAATCGTAAGTTCTATTATAATAGTTTCTTTTATCGCACTTCTCACCTTTGGAGCTATCTTTCAGCTTCTTGTTTCCTTGCCACATACAATCTTAAGAAATTTAAATGCAATGCCAATCAGCATCTTCTGTCTTCCATTGTTTATTATTCCTTCTTTTCAGTAAAGTCTTCTCATTCTCTTCCACTCCTAGCAACCTCTTGCATCATAGTGGCATTATGACCTTGCTTGGTGGGAAATGATTACAAAAAATATATGTTAATTAGAAATCTGCATTTGTAAGAAGCACAGTTGAATATAAGAAATTATGCTGCACTAAACAAATAATATCTTAAGAAAAAAATTTGGTGTTTTTCACCAAGTGTAACCCTCTATCCTAAATGATGGTGGAATGGTCAGCAAGCTGCATTTGTAGAAAATTAATAGCGAGTTCAATCTGTGTTGAAAGTAAATGCAACTAAGTACATAACAATTCCTAAATGCTATGGTAGAATGAATTGATTTTTTTAAATGGATTTCTTTCAGTATAATCACCCACACCATCCAAAGATCAAATGACAGATGCAGTTAAATTCCTCAGAAATTACATTTGGTGTAGAATGCTGTCAAGTCTGTTAAGGTGACTTCAATCCTCAAGAGTGTTCCCTTTAGCCTTGAAACAGACAAAGTGTAGTAAACATTTATAAGATTGTAAAATTTTAGACCAATGGTAATGTAATAATCATTTATAACTTCAGTAAGCCTGATCTACATTCATGGCGTCTTGTGTAAGACTAGGCTAAACAGATACTTCTAATGAGAGTCAATTGATTAATCAACTTGTGGAATAAAGTGAAAAAAAATGATGAAGAGAAAATATTGTGTGTGTACTTACCATGCAAAGGACTGGAGATAGACGCAAGCAGAACTAAAGTAAAAACAGGGTTACCAGTGCTGACAGCATTTTGAATTCTGCGAGAGAGAGAGAGAGAGAAAAATCCTTATCTTTCTGCAAATTTGTTTTATGGTTTCAGCCAGGTTTTTTTCCCCAAGATGTAGACTGAGGGTCAGAGAAAGATGCAATGAAAATCAATTGAAATTAGGATAAAAGGAATACAAAAATTAATAATTGTTTATAATCTTCCTTTTATTTTTAAAATGCCACATCCTTTCAGGTCACAGAAAATTGTGGCTCTCCACTGATTTTTTCTTTATTATTACCATGACTTTGGGAATGATAGTTGCTTTCTTCATGGTTTTGATTTCAAGTCTTTCTTACACTGGTTGCCACACAAGCATAGAGAGTTCATTCTACTCTGCTATTTAACCCATAGGTGGGTGGAGAAGAGATGGATACATGCCTTTCCCAAGGGCATTAGTGCATAAGTGAATGCAGCAAACTTGATCAGAATTTGAGATCAGCTTGACGATGCTGCTTATTGCATCAATAACTTATGCTAATTAGACATTCAGGTTGTTGACAATGATTCAGGTAATAAAATTTTAGAATATTATTATTATTAATGTTGTTGTTACTAATTCTATTAGATAAAGAAAAAAAAATGAAACTCTGATATAAGAAATATTTTTCAAAAATTAATAATGCCTATGAACACTAAGGGGTATGTCCCAATCCTCATAAATATTTTGGGCACTATTGTAAGTACAGGTAATAAGCTGTCTAAGTAGTCCACTGCTAGCAGTGGTTTACCTACTTGACACTGCTGGCGAGTATTGTATTTTGTTAATGTTATAAAGATTACCATTTCATTTCCCACCTCTGTTTTAGTTATTCCTCATTCAGTAACCCTTTCTAGGTTACAACATATTGCATCTATGGTGAATGAATCTGAGTTACAGTTTTGCTGAGAGAAAACGCATTATCTGGCGTGATCCACAGTCTGAACAAAGGCAGTATACTCAAAACCTTGGTCTCAGTGACCATGCTATCACAACCACTGGTGGCTCCCAAATAGTTCTGTCTATCCAATTTCACTCACAAGGCTGGGGTTAACCCATGGTATGGTTTTCAGGCACTTTTTAAATGTGCCACACACTGGGATCATCTTCCCAGGCTGAAGACATCAAGAAGTCACGTTCCTGATAAATCAACCATGATGAAATTGAAACCTAGACCTCATAGTCAGAAAGTGAATATTCTCACCACTCAGCCATGTGTGCCCATAATAGACAGATATACGATACAGTGTATAATCATTTTTCCTAAATGTTAGGAAACAATTCCCATGAGACTTCAAAGACAAGAGACAAGGAACAAAAGAGGAGAAAATTAAATGTCGATCTACTTACCGATAAATCAAAGGAAATATGGAGACAGCCAGATACACGAATGGATAACCACGAAGAGGTTTGATATCTTCTTTCAGCATTTGCTATAATAGATAAACAACGATAAATTAAACATCTCCCAATAGAAAAAGCAACATTGTCAATAAATATCATACAATTAATACCATGATAATCAAGAAGGTTGCGATGAATATTCAAATTTTAAAAGGCTACAACTATCAGGAAAACAAAAACTTCTCCCCAAGAAATAAAATCTTTCATGCAGTAAAAAAATTCTGCTGAGGACAGATAATCCAACAGTAGTACAATTTTTTATCATTTCACCCCGAGCAAGTTAATAAAGCCACTTCAATGAAAGGAGTTACCAAGTATTAGAGAATATGAGAAAAATATACTATTAAGGAGAGAAGACAATAAAAGAACAAGAATTAAGAAGACAAAAGATAATGATTGACACTGCATTTAAATTTTTGAAGTTCAAAGTTGACTGGGAAGCAAGAAGTTGGTAGAGAGTTCCACAAACAAGAAGTGTGATAGAAAAAACTGTCAGCATTGAAGTTATGGTAACATCTACCCATTTTAACTCTAAAATGAAACCTAGCTGGCAATCTAGTACTGCACTTAAATTCATAAAGTCTAGGTACCAAAGAGTAATGTTTATCAGAACAATTACCATGAAAATATTTATAGAAAGGGAAGCTATGTTATGGTGGTGGGAGAGTGAATGAAGCCAAGATGCCATGTTAGGGCCAATAATCTTGCAGATTTTTTTGGATTTTATCAAGAATCTCTAAATATATAGCAAGAACACCAGACCAGACCAGACTAATGTATACTTTTCTTTTTTTGTTTATGACTAAAGTTCTGAACTGATATAACTGAATAGTCAAGCTCATCTGAACATTTGTAATGGAAGTAGCAATAGGTGTGGGTATGTTTAAGTTCCTTCAAGAATCTTGGGCTAATTTTAACAAACTGCACATTACCGACTGACTAACTGAAAAAGTTCCACATCTCCCACTTCTCTTATATGGATGGGAAAAACAAAAAAAACAAAGAAAGTTAACAAAAGGAAAAAAAAAGAGTGAACTATTAACTTTCAAAGTCAAGGGTCAACTGTTATCTTTCAAAGTCAAGGGTCAACTGTTATCTTTCCTCCATATCCTGATAATATGCAACTATTGCAACATTGAGTAAGCCTCTACCTTGAGGGACATTCATGCCTTGTATTGGGTGAATAATAGTAATAAAAAAAACAAAAATGTTATACTAGACTAAATTGAGAATTATGAATCCAAAACTTTATTTACAACTCTCCATGACTGTCAGGTTATGGGAGATATGTATTATATATTTAGATTCAAATTAAATAATAGTATATTGGTATTTACTGCAGCTGGTAGCATGGGATTAGTTGTACAGAACTTTGCTGGAGGTCAAAGAATGGGATACTGGAGGTCTCTTCTTGCATTTTCATTTTGATTCTCACCAACCTCCAACAATATATTTGTATTGAAACAGGTTTTATTTCTATATTCATTTTCACTTTTTATAAAACTGGAACTTTTCATTTTGGTAATCAAAGTTTACATAATTTATCTTACTACTTTTAATCTTCAGGACTGAATTTAATTTATTTTATTTCTTTTCTTTTTTTTTTTTTTTTTATTAATGTTCATACCATACCAAGCCCAGGAGCCACTTAAAGTAGAGAGCTACTGTATGTTGTTGCATAAGAGAAGGTAAGAAGTGAAGTTCATGGGGCTATGCAGAAAAGATAATGGTTTAGCCTAGACTTGAAGAGGTCAGGATTGTAGTGATCGAGAAAACCTCCAGTCAGGAATCTGTTCCAAAAAGCAGCCATCCTTGGGAAGCTTCTGCCTGTGTGAAACTTGCTCCTTACTAATGGAATATGAAGGGAATGAGGATGATTCATCCTCTATATGTGGAATGGCAGGTCTCAACTGAAAAGGTCAAGGCCATTGGAAACATGGAATGTAGTGTGTCAAAACACTTATCATGGAAAATGGCTACAGAGTAGCAAGATAGTTGCAAAGTTTCATCTTTAAGAAAGTGGTTGTAGAAGGGATAATAATTCATCACCCACAAGGCAGCATAGATGCTTTTGAACAAAGCAGACTAGTGAAGATTGTGCAGCTCCTGCCCAGATGTGGCAGCAATACTTTATTTTTTGTCTGATCTGGCACTTGTAAAGATAGACTATCTGCAAGAGGAATTAGATAATTACTTCAACAGTATAATGAACTGACTATTTTACCAGCGTTTTTAGTAATAGAGCAGATATATTAGTTCCACTTGAGGTCTGGGGTAAGCTTGAGTCCCAATTAATGTTCAGGATAAGGAGCCTCCTCAAGAGAACACCCATCCATTATGATAGGTGAAGTTTGGTGTCTGCTCGGTGATGGTAGAATGTTACTAGTTTTATTTTGGACATATGAAATTTTACAAGCCAGTCCTTTCCCTATAGAGATTTTTTTTATTCAAAAAAATGTTGGTTGGTAAAAGTAACATTGTATTTGCTTTATATAATAATGATTGCATTAACTAAGTGACAATGTCTCAGTGGTTTACTAGTGCAAATGGATGACATTTAACAACTGCATTGCACAACTTATAATGTAAGTAGAATGTTTTCAACTATGTACTAGTCATTGGGATGCCATACTAAAAAGAATCACATAGCCTAATATTGAAGAAGAATAAGGCTATTCAAATGAGCAACTTTGTACAAGCCATTTATTATTCATTGCTGATTTTTTGTTATACAGGCAGTTCTAGAATAGTGAAAAGACCCACAATACTAGTGTAAAATTGTAGTTTCTTCTGGCTTGTAATCAATTCCTGCAATCCATTTCCTTTGGCCAAACACTCCACTGATCACAACATGTTTCTCCTGTTCAATACAGCAGTAACCGTTCTGCCTGTCACCTCAGTAAGCCCTTTTTTTCCCCTCATTGACAGCCAAAATTTACATACATAAAAAGAGACTATCTCTCTCAATGAGCACCCATCTCTGGAATCTGTTTTAAATGTGTGAATTACAAAGCCTCCATTTTTCCAGTTTACGTGTGAGGCACATATAAATTTTTTGCCCTGGAGATAAGGCATTTTCTCTAGTGTTACATTGACTGTTGCAAAAAAAAAAAATGCATGCAAACCTGGGCCTCTTTTCCCTCTGTGGTAGTTCATTAGAATAACATATTGGTAATGGGTTACATGTCAAAGTTCAAATTGTTAAAAAAGCAATAATTACACTCAATAGATGTTTTAAAAGAAAAAGATTAAAGCCAATAATAATATTTTCACCATCATGTTTAAAAGACCAAACTCTTTCCCTTGTACACCTCAGTATAATGTGGCTGAACTTGTTGCATACCTTCTTTTTATGTGCCCTGGCCTTTCAGGATGTAGGCGATCATGACTCTCCACATCCTCCTATCCCTTGTAGCTCTCAATAAGTTTCGTCCCTCTACCACATCCCCCAGACCACGTTCTGTCATCCTTTATTTCGCTCACCGGGGTAGAATGATCTAGTTCCACGTGCTATGTTTAATGGATGCCAGTTGTCAGCTATCTTCTGTTAATTTTCCCTCTCCAAGTTATCCACTGCCTTAACCAGGTATTGAACTCACACTCTTTTGGGTTCTGTCATTGGATCTAACTAACTGTGCCATGTGTCCTTGAGTGTGAGTTCAATACCCGGTTAAGGCAGTAGAGGACTTTCAGAGGGAAATTAACAGGAGATAACTGACATCCATTAAACATGGCATTTGGAACTAGAACAGTCCACCCCAGTGAGCGAAATAAAGGGTTCAGTTTGACATTCCAACCACCTGAAGAAGGTGAGAGCATACAATGGCTGAAATGTTGTAATAAATATGGCGACAAAGATGAGGACAATAGTTTGAATAATGTAAATAGTGTACATAATACCTCATCTCAGAAATATAGACAGAAACCCAGTCTCTTTTGACCTTTTCCCTTTTTCTTCCAATGTTGCACAATTTTGGCAAAAGCATCAATCTACTAACCATATTTTGATAGACAGTGTTCTATTTAAACAAATAAATAATACATTCTTTAAAATCAGGTGAGTTGCCTTATTTATATATTCAAAGTTACTTTACAAAAAAAAAAGTTTTGTTGTAAAATATACTTACTATATAGAATAAAATAAACTTACTTATTTTTAGATTGCTATGTATTTGTGCTTTTAGCTACAGACTTCCAATGCTCTAAAATTTGGTAATGAATACATTTTGATTATATAATGTTCCACTAAAAAAAAAAAAAATGAAATTCTGGTATATTTAGTTTAACCCTTTCGAGTCTCCTATGACATAAGTGTCAGTGTCCCACAGATGATTTCAAGATGTCCTGTGGGAATAATTGTCCCAAAAAAGCATTGATATGGGATAAAGCAAAAATAGTATCCCATTGCTATATTTATAATAATACATTCAATAATATTATTTTTCTAAGTCAAAGTCATTTAGATTTGTTTATTGAAACGAACAGTAATATTTTTTGCTGTATACATCAATTACACGAATGTGGATTTGAAAGGGTTAAGAGAGCACCTCCTACCAAAAAAAATGAGACCATCTGCTTACTGTACATTTTGGACTTGTGTAAACTGGGCCTGTGTCTATCTTGTACAATCTGGGCCTGTGTCTACTTTTTAGACTCTCATGCAAACTGGGCCTGTATGTATACTTTTGACTATTGTGCTAATTAGGCCTATGTGTAGGCTTTTGATTCTTGCATAAACCAGACCTATGTCTATGACTCTCATGCAAACTGGGCCTATGTCTACCCTTTCTGACTCGTGCAAACTGGGCCTATGTCTACCCTTTCTGACTCGTGCAAACTGGGCCTATGTCTACCCTTTCTGACTCGTGCAAACTGGGCCTATGTCTACTTTTTCTGACTCGTGCAAACTGGGCCTATGTCTACCCTTTCTGACTCGTGCAAACTGGGCCTATGTCTACCCTTTCTGACTCGTGCAAACTGGGCCTATGTCTACCCTTTCTGACTCGTGCAAACTGGGCCTATGTCTACC